CGCCGCCCCTGCTCGCCCCCCGGCAGTCTCGCTGGCCCTCGGCGGCATGGCGGGGAGCCTCCCGGGACTACGCTGCGGTCTGCTTCTGCTACTCCTCTTGCCGCTGGCGTCCCCGCAGCAGCCGCCCCCGGCGCCCCCGGCCTCGCTCCAGCGGGGGAGCGTGTGGTGCCCCAGCCGCTGCCTCTGCTTCCGCACCACCGTGCGCTGCATGCACCTCATGCTGGAGAGCGTCCCGGCCGTGGCCCCGCAGACCTCCATCCTGTAAGTGGGGCCGCGCTCGGGGCCGGCGGGGAGGAGGAGAGCGGCGTCCGCGGCCCTTTGTCTGCCGCCCGCGGGGCTCCGGAGGGGAGGGGAGGGGAGAGGGGGCTCGGCTGCGGCTCCCTTTTGTTCGCTCCGGCCGCCACTTTCGGCTCCGAAGAGTCCGCTGGCCGCCTCCCCCCCCCCGGCTCCAGGGGTTGGAGGGCGGGCAAGAGACCCGGCGACGTTCAGGGGCCTTCAAGGGAGGTTTTAGCGGTGGGAAACTCGGAAAGGATCCCAGAGTTGGCGACTTTCCGGATCAAATGTAGCCTGGAAAAGTTCGCCGTCTTTGGGACTCGCCTGGATTGTCCCACAAAGGCCGGTTGGGGCTCCGCTTGAATCCGCGGTGGGCTTTCCACGCCCCGGCAGAAAAGGCCGCCTGGGATTTCGGCTCTCGGAGTTGTTTGGCGTCGCCTTTCTTTTCTGAGGGGTTGACCCGCAGCTTCCAGGTCTTTTGTCTTTTATTCCTGCCCTGAAGCCCTGAAGCTCCTTCCTCTTTCCCAAAGTCTTTGCGAAGCCTTCGTTGCACAGTAGCGACTTTCCCTTGAATTCAGAATATATATACGAAAAGATCTGGGATATCCTAAACATCTTACAACCCGGTGATTTTTATGCATTTACGTATCCTCCTTATGGGAATGTGAGCTTTGTAGGTAGGGTTTGTATTCGGGCCAAGGAGAGGAGAGCTTCACACGTGAAGCCTTCAGAGGTTCTGTAAACAAAACAGTCAGACATTAATATTTGTATAGGAATTCTCATTTTGCCCCCTTTCCCCGTTAGAACCAGTTATGGGATGTTTTAAAAGATAAATCTTATCCGTGGCTTTAAGTATGACATTTTTAATCAGAGAGGGAAACAATTATGGGGAATACTCCATTGACCTGATGTAAGGTCTCTCCTCTCTCTCTCTCTCTCTGTGTAAAAGTGTCTTGTATAAAAACACAAGCCTAGTTGAATTAAAAATGGTGCAGAATTCTGTTGTAACATCAGTGCTTGAATTCGTCTGTTTCTATGCAGTTATCTGGAAGTGATCCCATAGTCTCAAAATACTGAAATACATCTGTATCCATTTCAGAAAAAGATGCATAAACCACCTTCCGCTTATCTTTACACTTATATATCGTGTAGATGTGAACAAGATAGTTCCACATTTGCTACAAGCCATCCAAGTCCTAGTCACTTAAGAAACACATTCATATAGTTAACTTGGCAGCAGTACAGAAATGACTGGTCCCTGCCTTCTCCAAGTCTCTTTTGTTGTTTTCCTGTCTAACTTCCAGTCCTGAGATTAACAACGAAAGACATCTGCTTTTTCATGTTGTGGTCATTCTCTGACAAAAAGGCATCGCCCGAATTGACTTTCCCCACTTCCAAATGGGACGGACTGTGACCCAGCATTTCCGGCACCCAGCTATATTGGCTGGGAATTTAAGCTATGTTGTCCACGGATGTTCCAGCATATTTGGGCAACAATGGAGAAGGTATTTGTGTACTCCATATGGAGAATTGCTTCAAATTCACAGGACTTAAAGTCTGCAAGAGCCAGTTCCTTAAGGCTGCTATATAAATATTTTAAATTTTCTGGCAGTCAGGTATCTGGGATTTTCCAAGAATTGTCTTTTGGCATTTTCTTTTTTTAAAAGTGTTTTTCAACACTTTCTNTCAACTCCCAGAATTCCCCAGCCAGCGAATGCTGGCTGGGGAATTCTGGGAGTTGAAGTCCGGACATCTTCAAGTTGCCAAGGTTGGGAAACACTGGTCTAGGATTCTCAATTTCCTAGCTACCGTATATTCCACAGTTTGATTGGTTGATACAGTCAAAACCCTTTTATAATCAATAAAGCACATATTGCCATATTTCGATATTGTTCAATTATCTACATGCATCAGCAATAATGTTCCTTACTTTTTGGGCTTTTCTAAAGCTGGCTTGAACATTGGCATTTCTCTTTCCTTAATGGGTTCCAATCTGTGTTGGATGTTTTGCTAATGTGTAAAATAAAAATGATAACGTATAATATAGTTTGCCCCTTTGTTAAGTCTAATTTCTTTGGTGTTGGTTTGCAGACTGGCTTTGTCCAATCTGTTGGCCACCGGGTCATTCTTCAGATGTGCTGGCAGAGCTTGGCTCAAATCTTTACCAACTCTTCTGTTGCTTGCTGCGTCCCTCTGGATCGTTCATCGGTTCCTGTAGCCTTCCGACTTGATAATGTCCGAAGTACTGATCCAATTTCATCTTCCAGTACCAGAGGTTGTTTATAAGTAAGGAATATATTCTAAGATACTTTGGACGTTGGCATCCATTATGCAGTATTTCAGTCAGTATAATCTTCCCATCTTTGATCTTTCAACCGGCAGCCACTTGTTCAGTGTAATACATCAATTTAATTGAATTAATTGAACTCAATTCTAAGTTCAGAGATCTTTCGGAAGACTTTCCCCATTTTCCCATGTCTGTTTTCATCTTCAATGTCTTTACAGGTGTTGTTATACTGTTTCTTTTCCAACAGTTCTCTGACATTCAGTTCCTTCCTGACATATTTGCCTCTCTCAGTTTTGGCTTCCCTTTTTTTCTTGGCAGTTTGCATGGTTTGTTCTGACATCCAGCTTGCTTTTGTCTTCAACTTTGGATGTTGTGCTTGAGAAGTTCATGAACGGTTCCACAGGCAGCACCTGGCTATCATTTGCATAGCCTGGCTGTAGCCATAATTGAGCTCCTCCGTTTCCTTTCAGCAATCATATACATTTGACTTCTGTGTACTCCATAGGGCGAGGTCCATCTGCCCTCCAGTATTTGGGGCCCTAGATTATATGGCATGCCTATTTTGCTCCAAGTAGATAATGACTATCCTGAAGTGTCACAGGGGTCCCACCTAGCAATAATTTGACCCAGAATTTGCTCTTGTCTCAATCATATATGATCACATTTCCAATTATCAAGCTGTGTCCAGATCACAATGCGATATTACTTAGATATCCCTTAGAAGTTTAGCCTGGCTCTTTTCTTCATGCTTTAAAAATCTGTTAGTCACCTAGTTAGGAGTCATAAAGCAGCCATGCCTGAAAGCAAGAAAATAAACAAGAGGTCTCACTGTGCAAAAGAGTTTAAGAATGGCCGATATGCAGTTGTGTGCATAACTAGTTACATCTTCGGAATCAGTATTTGCACTATATCACAGATCTCAAATGGTATTTGTTACTCTTTTCCAATTGTGTGAATTATTGATAGATACATTATGGTTTGTCGCACAGTCAGCCAGATGTTTAGACTGGTTTGGGCCTTTTTGTCCACTTATCGATGTGTGTGTGTGTGTGTGTGTGTGTGTAAAACTTATATATAACAATACTTCTTCAGGCAAGACAATTTGCCACATACAGAAAATGTAAGACGCCGTTTTGTTTTGTTAGTTTCTACTTGTGTCAGATGAGACTAGAGCAGAGGTGTCAATCACGCGACCCGGGGGCCAAATGCTTCATGCGCTGGCCACACCCACACCCAGTTTTAGCAAAGGGGGGGAAGTTGTGATACGTCATATGATGACAATGTGCCATCACACGTTTGGCACCCCTGCTCTAGAGGAAGTGAAGAGAAGCAATGTTGATCAAACAGTTTTTGATAAATAGTCTGAATCAACTTTGTGAAACTGAAGCACTTCTTTGAAGTTTTGTACAACCCAACTATTAGAGGTTATCAGATTTGTTCAAAGACAAATCCTGAATTCCAGAAATTCAGAACAAGGATGTTAATGACATCCCCAATACCGCAATAGAATTGAACGCTACAACTATTACTAATAACGATGTTAGCAATCAGAGGGAGGAATTATAAATAGGAAGTATTCCTGTTAAATAGGGCACTTAGGATACATTCATACAACATATTACAGTGGGTTAAAATGAAGTTCGGAGGCGTCTGACAATTCCTACATCATTTCTTGTCCTTGATGTTAAAGGATAAAACATGCACTTATAGGAAAGCCTTGACTTGCAACTATTCATTTAAAAATGATTCAAAGTTATGACAGCCTTAGAAAAAGTCTTTAATGACCTGTACTTGTACACATGACTATTACACCAAAGTGATAGTCACATGATTGCAATTTGGGCACCTGGAAACTGGCTGGCATTTGCTGCTGGTTGCAGAATCCTGTGATCACAGAATTGCAAATTGTGACTTTTTAATCCATTTCTGGGTGCGGAAATTCATTTGGAAAACTGAGTTTGCTTACTGACTATGTGGCTCACAACAGCTGCAATGAATCACTTAACAACCATGGAAAAATGGTTGAAAAATCAGGACACATGATGATCTGCTTTATGACTGCCCTGATTTTCAATGGAAGTTCTAAACCCAATTGTGATCTCAAGTGGACAACTACCTGTATTTGTGCTACTGTGAGAATTTTATGCTTATTAACCTAACTTTGGAATGGCTTGAGGAAATGCGCTTTGTTGTCAGGATTAACCTGAAACAAGTTAACCTGTACCCATGTGCTTTATATCTGATGGCCATATTCTTTGTGAAATTAAACTAGAAGTATTTCCCTATGTTTTCATAAAAGCACAAGTATTGGATGAAGAATACCAGCAAGTGGCAGTATTTGACAAAAATCAAGACGAAGAGCAGGAATGTTTGAAAGGAAGTCTCATTTGTAGGCAAGGTAAAGAAAGTAGCAAGAATAGACTTTTATTTAACAAAAATGCATTTTTACTCCTCAGAGGTCTTACATTTGATTTATTTGACATTGTTTTAATTTTAAAAACCATGGACTAAGAGTCCAAGAGGAAGCACTCATTCGCATTAACGTGATTCTACTGTTTTGTGATACAAAGTAAGTAACATGTTTTAGTCAAGAAGCCAGCCACTCTACTTCAGAGGATTCCTATTTACGAGTCCCGATTTTTCAAAAAATCTTTTTTATTCTATACAATTGACTATAACATAATAATTAAAAATATTTTTT